TAATGAAAGTGTCTCTGGACCTCTTTCCTGATGTATTGATCCAGTTCATCAAAGTGTCTCTGGACCTCTTTCCTGATGTTTTGATCCAGTTCATCAAAGTGTCTCGGGACCTCTTTCCTGATCTATTGATCCAGTTAATCAAAGTGTCTCTGGACCTCTTTCCTGATGTATTGATCCAGTTCATCAAAGTGTCTCTGGAACTCTTTCCTGATGTTTTTATTCTGCTATTCCTCAGCTGGCTCTAGCTATCGCAGATCTGGCTCTCCAGATGGCCTCCTGGAAGGGATGTGTTCACACACTCATAGAAAAGTAAGAATTCACACAACTTCACAGCAGAAAGATAACACAAACTTCACCTGCACTAATGTTGACCTTTAAGAAGGTGTGTCCTGACTCACCTGTCCGTATCCCCCCCCCCTCCCAGGTACAACAATGACATCAGCTCGATGCCCTTCCTCATAGAGATCCTCACCGTTCTGCCGGAAGAGGTCCACAGCCGCTCTCTGAGGATCGGAGCCAACCGGAGGACGGAAATCATCGAAGACCTGGCGTACTACTCCAGCACCGTGGTCACGCTGCTGGTCAGTAATATATATAAATATATATTTACCCCCTTTGTTTAAATATAGTGTCAGGCTTGCTCTAACCTCACTGCTGGGTTTGTTTCAGACTTCCTGTGTGGAGAAGGCGGGCACGGAGGAGAAGATGCTGATTAAAGTGTTTCGCTGTCTGGGGAGCTGGTTCAACCTGGGAGTCCTGGACAGCAATTTCATGGCCGGGAATCAGCTGCTCATGGTCCTCTTCCAAGTCCTGGTGAGTAACACTGATAGCCTAATCTCTGAACCCCCTGGAAACGTCTGCTTCCTGTTGGATGTCCATGAAAGACGTTTACATACAGAAAGGCTGTGGTGGATTCAGAAGGTAAAGCTCCTGATGGGTCCGTTGGTCCTGTCTCTAACAGACATGTTGCTTCTGTGTTTCACAGCAGAGGGATGAAACCTCCACAAACCTCCACGAGGCGGCGTCTGACTGCGTCTGCTCGGCGCTGTACGCCATCGAGAACGTGGACACCAACATGGGTCTGGCCCTGCAGCTCTTCCAGGGCGTCCTGACGCTGGAGACGGCGTACCACATGGCGGTGGCTCGGGAAGACCTGGACAAGTGAGGACCAACTGGAAACTGATTCTGATTGTGCTTAGAGCCATTATCAGCCCCACTCACTCTGACCTCTTTCTTCAGAGTCCTGAACTACTGCCGGATCTTCACCGAGCTCTGCGAGACCTTCCTGGAGACCACAGTCCGGAGTCCGGGCCAGGGGATGGGAGACCTGCGGACCCTGGAGCTGCTGCTGATCTGTGCAGGACACCCGCAATACGAGGTACAAATACAGCAATAAAATCGCAGTTTCACGGTGCGTTCAAATGTCATTACATTCTCAATTCTATCCTTCGTTTTTACATTTGGGTCTCTGTTCTGATACAGGTGGTGGAGATCTCCTTTAACTTCTGGTACCGACTCGGAGAACATCTGTATAAAATAAACGATGCCGCTCTTCACACCATCTTCAGACCATACATCCAGAGACTTCTGCACTGTTTGGCCCGACACTGTCAGCTGGACCCAGACCACGTGAGTCCATCAGAACCACCTCTGAGCCTCCACTTCCTGTTTAAGAACCATGCGTAGGGTCAAGAGAAACGGTCTTTAGTCTGAATTAGACACCAGGCTTCAGTGGTTGTGTTCTGTTCCTTGGTTGTGGGTTATTGTGAATTCTCTGGTTGTGTAACTGGTTCTGACCCAACAGGAGGGGATCCCGGAGGATACGGATGATTTTGGAGAGTTCAGGATGAGAGTCTCTGACCTCGTCAAAGACGTCATTTTTCTGGTTGGATCCATGGAGTGTTTCTCTCAGGTACCTGAAACAGTGCTGTACCTCCTTCTCTAAAGATGTTCTGTACCTCCTACTCTAAAGATGTTCTGTACCTCCTTCTCTAAAGATGTTCTGTACCTCCTACTCTAAAGATGTTCTGTACCTCCTTCTCTAAAGATGTTCTGTACCTCCTACTCTAAAGATGTTCTGTACCTCCTACTCTAAAGATGTTCTGTAACTCCTTCTCTAAAGATGTTCTGTACCCCCTACTCTAAAGATGTTCTGTACCTCCTTCTCTAAGGATGTTCTGTACCTCCTACTCTGTTCTGTACCTCCTTCTCTAAAGATGTTCTGTACCTCCTACTCTCTAAAGATGTTCTGTACCTCCTACTCTAAAGATGTTCCTCCTTCTCTGAAGATGTTCCTCCTTCTCTAAAGATGTTCTGTACCACATACTCTCTAAAGATGTTCTGTACCTCCTTCTCTAAAGATGTTCTCTGTTGTTCTCAGTTGTATTCGACGTTGAAAGAAGGAAACCCGTCCTGGGAGGTGACAGAGGCCGTTCTGTTCATCATGGCTGCGATTGCTAAGAGCGTTGATCCGTGAGTTCTTTGCTTTATGGTCATCAGAACACATTTATATGATGAATGATTTCTGGATCTGTGGTGATGATTAATCTGTGGTTCTGCAGAGAAAACAACCCCACACTCGCTGAGGTTTTGCAGCAGGTGGTCTTACTTCCTGAGACGGTACACATAGCAGTCCGATTCACGAGCATTGAGCTGGTGGGAGAGATGAGCGAAGTGGTCGACAGAAACCCCAGGTTCCTCGGTAAGGGTTCTCCGTCTGAATCTAAGACCTGTCAGACCTGAAGTGCCCGATGATACGACATTTATTTTGTGTCTTTGCTCTTCCTGTCAGACCCCGTCCTGAACTACCTGATGAAAGGACTCAGGGAACAGCCTCTGGCGTCGGCGGCGGCGAAGTCGATCCACAACATCTGCTCGGTGTGCAGAGACCACATGGCCCAACACTTCCAGGGACTGCTGGACATCGCCCGGGCCCTTGACACCTTCGCCCTATCCACCGAGGCTGCCGTAGGACTGCTCAAAGGTGCGTGAGGGCTCACAATGTTTTTTATTTACCTGTACAGGTGAGTCACAATGGGTTAGGGTTACAGGTAGGGCTGGGCGATATGGTCATTAAATGATATCGCAATATTTACTGACTATATCGCGATATACGATATATATCGCGATATTCTGAAATGTCCTCTAAAAAAAAAGAAGATTTTTTTTATTTAACCCCTTGATGTTTACAGTCACGCCAGTATGATGATTCTAGTAGTCCCTGCAACATATGTCTACATTAAAAAAATCGACTAATAATGAAGAAAATTAACACATTTGTTGCAATAGTAATTTATGCACTAACTACATTACTACTTGTACTACAACATTTGAATCATCAGTTCTTCCTCATTTTCCTCAATTGTTCATATTTGGTTTATTAAAATAATGATATTGTGGTCATTGTTAAAAAATGTCTGCTATTATTATGAGTATTATTATGAGTATAATGCGCTTTCTGCTTCCTGTCATCAGGAGTTAGAAATGTAATGGCTATGTAGTAGATTAGATTAGAACCTTCATTCTCCTGCTGGGACATTTCCCTAAAGCCAATACCTTTATATTTTCTACTCTTCACTGACTTGTCAGCATAGCTCGGCATTGATGTACAGAGCCGACAGAAGACCTTGTTTATATTGGCATCATATTGAGAGGTGCAGTGACGCGTCCTAAAACCAGGAAGTAAGC